CCTTCCTTCCTTCCTTCCTTCCTTCCTTCCTTCCTTCCTTCCTTCCTTCCTTCCTTCCTTGTTCTTCTTTCCCTTCCCTTCTCTTCCCTTCCCGCCTCTCTCTCCTTCCTTCCTTCCTTCCTTCCTTCCTTTTCTTCTTCTTCCCTTTCCATCTCCCCTTCCTTCCTTCCTTCCTTCCTTCTGTTCTTCTTTCCCTTCCCTTCTCTTCCCGCCTCTCTCTCTCTCTCTCTCTCTCTTCCTTCCTTCCTTTCTTTCTTCCTTCCTTCCTTCCTTTCTTCCTTCCTTTCCTTCCTTCCTTTTCTTCTTCTTCCCCTTCCCTTTCCATCTCCCCTTCCTTCCTTCCTTCCTTCCTTCCCTTCCCTTCCCTTCCCTTCCCTTCCCTTCCCTTCTCTTATTATTTTTACAAATAAGGCAGCAAATATATCCAGCACACCTTCTTCTTCCTATTTCCCCCAGAAGAACAGCCCCAGGAGGTGAGTTGGATTGAGAGTGAATGTCTGGCCCAAAAACACGCAGCTTGCTTTCATGTCTAAAACAGGACTGGAACTCACATCCTCCCACTTTCTGGCCTAGTGCCTTAAGTACTAGGTCAAACAGACTCTTTAAGCCTTTTACATTTCTTGATACCAACAGAAGACAATATTTGTAACTCAGGGTTGAAAGGTGGGATCCTTGGGACTCTCTGAGCTTGCTTGTTTTCTTGCTAGCACTGATGATCATTACCTTCATTTGGGTAATGAAATGTCTGCAAGAAAACAGCCAAGCTCAGAGACCACCAAAGATCCCACATTTTTTGATAGATGGATGGATAAATGGATGGATGGATAGATAGACAAGATAGATCTAGATAAACAATAGATTGTTGTTGTTAGTTGCAAAGTCATGTCCGACCCATCGCGACCCCATGGACCACGTTCCTCCAGGCCTTCCTGTCCTCTACCATCTTCTGGAGTCCATTTAAGCTCACGCCTACTGCTTCAGTGACTCCATCCAGCCACCTCATTCTCTGCTGTCCCCTTCTTCTATTGCCCTCCATCTTTCCCAGCATCAAGCTCTTCTCCAGTGAGTCCTTCCTTCTCATTAGGTGGCCAAAGGACTTGATTTTCAACTTCAGGATCTGGCCTTCTAAAGAGCAGTCGGGGTTGATCTCCTCTAGGACTGACCGGTTTGATCGCCTTGCAGTCCAGGGGACTCGCAGGAGTCTTCTCCAGCACCAGAGTTCAAAGGCCTCCATTCTTTGGCGCTCAGCCTTTCTTATGGTCCAACTTTCACAGATCTAGATAGATGATAGATAGATCTAGATAGATAGATCTAGATAGATGATAGATTAGAAATAAAATAGATGATAGCTAGATAAATAGATCTAGATAGATGATAGATAGATCTAGATAGATAGATCTAGATAGATGATAGATTAGAAATAAAATAAATGATAGCTAGATAAATAGATCTAGATAGATGATAGATAGATAGATAGATAGATAGATAGATAGATAGATAGATAGATAGATAGATAGATAGATAGATAGATAGATAGATAGATAGATCCTATTTTAACTATTGTCCTTCTGAAGAACTGATGGAAGTACAGTGATGGAAGCGCAATACAAGATAAAGATTTTTTTTTCTCAACCAGCAAGCAGAGGCCTTCATATAATGTAGTACCCACAGGCACCATGTCATATAAAAGAACTAAATTTATCACTAAGAACAACTTCATCCGCATCCCATTTTTCTGCAACATTCCAGAATCTAAATGGATTCTTATCTCATACTCCTAAGCCTACACTGATTTGTATGAACTGCCCCCTAGAAAAGATGGCTGCTGTCCAGGCTGCATCAGGATTTACTTGAGGGAACCTCTGTATTTTGCAAGCACAGATTTATATTTGGGAGGACGTATTTTCTGCTTCAAACTCCCCCTTTTCTATATAAATAAAAATGTAAACGTTCGTTTGTTCAAAATCTTAAATCTCTGAAAGTTCTTCACCGATTGCTTTGAAATTTTGACACAACGTTGCATTCGAATACGCGCGTGTTTTTATGTACCTACTATTATATAGATGTCACACCTGTGGCAGGTAAAAACATGCTTTTTTAAAAAAAACAGCGCCATCCGTTGGACGTAAAAGCATACCCACAAGCATTGTGAAATTAAACATATTACAAAGGTGCGCTTTCTCTTTTCTTTCTTTTCCATTTAACCAGACTGAGCCACAGCAACGCGTGGCCGGGTACAGCTAGTTTAAAAATAAAAATAAAAATTCCAAGCCCTTGGATCTGCTTGTTAAAGCTTCGTATTAGAAACTTTGCGGGAACTATTATCTCAACCGTTTATATTCTTTCGGAAAAAAATAACAAGCTGGGGGTCCTTCAACTGGAACAATCATCTCATGAGGGAGACCAGATACTCAACGGAGGAAACCAAGCAAGAATGTTTTGCTGGTATTCCAGATTAAGTTATTCCATTTCTAAAATGACTCTGAGGACATTGACCGCTCAATTTATACCCGCCAGCGCACTGTCCTGGAAACCCACAACATACTGTATATACACGAGAGCGGTGCACCAATACAAAAATACAGAATAAATATTTACTAGCTTCGGTGGAAGTCACCCAACCGTCTAATAATCTTCTGCTAAATAATGCAGCAATGTTCTAAATGAATAATTGACAGTAAAGGCTGCATAACCATATAAATGTATTTATTTCTCTACCCGATGTTAGCATCCAGAGTTTGGATTCTTGCTTTGCTTTGTTTATTTATTTATTTTATTTATTTATTTTATTTAATTTATATGCCGCCCTTCTCCCGACAGGGACTCAGGGCGGCGCACAACATATTTAAAACCAGAACATATATACAATCCCCCCCTTAAAACCGAATTAAACCGAATTTTAATGTTGCGTCTTCCGAATATTTAAAACCCAATGTAAAATCCACCCTAGGTCAGG